CCTCTTTACATCTGACGAGAAGTTGCGAGATTGGTCGCCCAGATCCTCCCAGTCTGTGCCTCATTCCAGCTCGTCGACGCGCTGGCAGCCAACTGCAACGGCATCCTCCGCGGTCTTGGACTCCAATCTTTTGGTGGTTATGTTCAGCTATTCTGCTACTACGTTGTGGCCATGCCCATTAGTATGGGCACATCCTTTGGGTTAGGTTGGAGCCTCTGGGGCCTCTGGACTGGTGTTGCTGTCGCACTGTGCCTGGTGTCAATTATCGAAGGCGTGTTCTTGACCCGCACTGATTGGGAGATTTCTGTGTCCGATGCCAGGAGGAGGAATGCTATGGGATGATTGATGCGATCTGGTGCGCGTATTCGTCCTGGATTTTGGGCCATGCACTCCACCTACCAACTTACAGGTTTATTCGACATTCTTTTTCATGTGTTCTACACATGTTTCCTCCTTGTAATCCATTTGCCATTGTGTTTTCAAGGTTATGTTTCACGATTACGAACCCTATGAAGTCTACGCAAGGAATTTTATGTTTGGTTTTTGGGTAGGAGGCGGCGGGATCTCTGCTCAGTTGTGCAATGATGTGATTGGTATATATATATATATGTATATATATTTTTGGTTTTTTTGTGGCGTTGAGTTATTCTAGAAGCCGTGTTATTTTATGGTGGTGAGCCGCTGGGTCAGACTTTACTATTCATGGCATGTATAGACAAGACAAGACAATATTATATTGTATATGTAATCTTTTTGGATCTACATCTTCTACAATATTAACTAAAATTTACGAGCGAAATCGTATATTCTTGCTATCCTGGTTGCCTTATCGCAATTTCCCATGAATATCGAGCAAGAATGGTATAAAATATTCTTATTTGTATGAATCACTTACATGCGTATTAGTTAGAATATATATATGAAAAAAATACTTGACGAACTCCTACCACTAGAGAAAGAAAAACGCCCTTTGAACCCGCTCATGAAAGTTGCACGAAGCAAAAGTCCCTCCCACATGTGTAAAACCACTAGCAATTCGTCCACAAGACATACGAGTCGTCAGATTCATCCCAGCACCTTTATCTTTTTCTTCTTCTTCCCTTCCCCTTTCTGCGATTTGCCCTTCTGCCAATTCCTCCAGCTCCCAATCCGCTCATCGCGCGATTCCTCCCAAGCCTTTTCGTCTTCCCTTTTCCGTTTCCGCGCCTCAATCTCCTCCTCCTCCTTCTTCTTTTCTCTGCCTTCCTCCTGCAACTGCGCCTTCAACCGCCGCCTCCGCCTGGCCTCTTCCTCGACAAGAACCTCTACAGTCTTCTGTCGCCATTCCTTCTTGAATTCCTCCGTCTTCAGTTCGGGGGAGTCGAGGGTATACTTGTGTTCTCTGATCAATATTCGCCGCGCATCGGCTATGCACTCGTCAAGGTGAGCTCGTGCTTTTTCATCCAGCAGCGTCGTTTGCGCCTTTTTAAGGCGATCAAATGCGTCTGGCGCCGCAGGGTTTGAGGATTTATCCGGGTGTATGAGGAGGGATTTCTTGCGGTATTGGACTTTTATGTCGGAATCAGGGACGCCAGGTTGGAGGTCCAGAACCGCATACCTGTTTCACGAGTCAGACAGGTGTTAAAATTGAAAGTTGAATGACATTTCTGTGTGTGTGTGTGTGTGTGTGGATTATATAGGGTGGTAAAACCTACGCATCGAGTTGGAAGGCCTTCCTGATGCGATCGATTTCCGCATCCTAGAGGCATTTCGTTAATTAAATGGGGACGCCAATTAATTAGGAGAGGGTGCATGTTTCTCATACTTTTGTGAATTCAGATGCCTCTCTTTCGAGGGCATCGAGTGCTTCCAATTCATCTTCAGCCATCTCGAAAGCTCTCCGCAGTTCAGCTATCCAGAGCATTCAAGGAGTTGCGCCGGGCCAAGATCAACTCAACTAGTTATTCGTGAATAGATGACGATGACTAAGCAATGGCGCCAAGAACAACCTTCTGCCAGAAAAAAAGAAAGTTTGGCGACGGCAGTAAATTTCTCGGTTTTCTATGCAAGATTTTGATGAGAATGAAACGCAAAAGCTTGACACTTGCGGCAGGACATGGCATCGGCACACCATGGGCGGAATAGCAAACATCCCAAACCCTCCCGCAGCAATGCCAGAAGTCTTAAACGAAAGCGGGATGAGGTGGACCTTTCAACGCTCGCACAACGGATTGACGAGCTTGATGTCAAAGCTTCATTCGAAGCATTTTCCGACCTCCCTCTCTCAGAACCCACCGCGGACGGCCTCTCCGCGTGCCATTTTAAATCGTTGACCGATATTCAAGCCAGGGCGATACCGCATGCTCTCAAGGGACGAGATATCCTGGGCGCCGCAAAGACTGGAAGCGGGAAAACACTTGCGTTTCTCGTTCCTCTCCTGGAGTTGCTATATCGAAAGCAATGGACGGAATATGATGGGCTGGGAGCGTTGGTGCTGTCGCCTACTCGCGAGCTGGCGATCCAGATATTCGAAGTGTTACGGAAGATCGGTCGCCATCATACCTTCTCGGCTGGGTTGGTAATTGGCGGGAAGGGTTTGCAGGAGGAACAAGAACGGCTGGGGAAGATGAATATATTGGTGTGCACTCCCGGACGGATGCTGCAGCATATGGACCAGACGGCAGCTTTTGATACCAATCACATTCAATTACTTGTGCTGGATGAGGCGGATCGAATTATGGATATGGGATTCCAAAGTACTGTCGACGCCATTATCGACCACCTGCCAAAGGAGCGGCAAACGATGCTGTTCAGCGCAACGCAAACAAAAAAAGTTTCTGATCTTGCGCGCTTGAGTCTACGGGATCCCGAATACGTATCTGTTCATGAAACAGCGGCCAGCGCAACTCCAGCGAAGTTACAACAAAATTACATCATTACGCCGCTGCCAGAAAAGTTAGATACCCTATGGAGTTTTATACGAAGCAGTTTGAAGTCTAAAATCATAGTGTTCTTCTCGTCGGGGAAACAAGTTCGGTTTGTGTACGAGTCTTTTAGGCATATGCGACCTGGGATTCCCCTTCTTCATTTACATGGGCGCCAGAAACAAGGCGCCAGGGTAGATATTACAAAGAAATTTTCTGCGGCTAAGTATTCGTGCTTGTTTGCTACGGATATTGCTGCGAGGGGCCTGGATTTCCCGGCTGTCGACTGGGTTATTCAGGTTGACTGCCCAGAGGACGCAGACACATATATCCACCGAGCAGGTCGAACTGCGCGCTACGAACGCAACGGGCGAGCAGTTCTGTTCCTAGAGCCCAGTGAGGAGGCGGGAATGTTAAAGCGGCTGGAACAGAAGAAAATACCCATCGAAAAAATTAATGTCCGTTCCAAGAAACAGCAGAGTATTAAAAACCAGTTGCAGAATATGTGTTTTAAAGACCCATCTTTGAAATACCTTGGACAGAAAGCTTTTATATCCTACGTCAAATCCATCCATGTGCAGAGGGATAAGGAGGTTTTTGATGTGAAAGACTTGCCCAAAACAAGAATATGCCGCGAGCTTGGGACTACCTGGTCCCCCACCCGCTCAAGTTTATCAAGGGTGAGGACTCCAAGAAATGAAAAAGC